TCCCTACACTCCAGAAGATCAAATCGTAAACTTTTCGTTTTCCGAATATTCCTACTCCTCAAAGTCTCAGCACAACGGTTCTCATTCAAAAACTTCTCATACAACATGGACAAACACTCATGAGAAATCTGCAGCCTGTCAGCACCCTCAGCACCTGGCCTACCAGCATTACGACTCTTTAGCATAAAATACCGCGAATCCTTCCGGGTAGTAACCCCATCAACCCCATATTCATATTCACCATCATGCCTCAAGCATTCAGCAACCACATCCTCCAAATCCACCCTAGGTCGATCAAGACTCTCCCTCCCCTCCCTCTTCTCCTCAGGCTTCAACATAGACTTCCTCTCCATATACTGAATCACAATTGGCGCATTCTTGACAATGTTCTTCATCGTAACATCCTTCCCCCAAGGCAACACCTGAGCAGCTTTCACAAGCGTCTCAAGCAGCTCCTTGTACCTAGCTCTACAAGTGGAAACCCTCGAATGAACCTCCTTAGCCAATTCATCCATCCTCACACCAACTCCATTCAACTCCGCCACGAAAACCAACACCGCCACCACCAGCGGAATCGGGCGGCGGCCGGTGCTCAGAAACCACTTCACCGCACACTGTATCAAAAACACCCCCTGCTTCATCATCCTCTCCGCCACACTCCTCTCAACCGAGGCAAAACAGGCGCAATTCTTAATCGTACGTTCCAACGAATGCACAATGTCAAACTCAGGAAAATCAGGTCTCAAATCAAGGAAATCAATAACGCGAAGAATCATCCTACCGAGCTCGTAAACGCCGCAACCGACGGCGGGGGCCACCTCCGCCATTGGCAAGGGGCGGGCGTCCCTCCGCATGACAACGTAGGCGCACGCGCCGACGAGCACGTTGAACCAATCGCCCTGGCCGAACTCGCCCTCGGTGATCACGGATATCATGCTTCTGATGTCGACGCTCTCGGAGGATAACCCTAACCATTAGGTTAAATCGTCGATGGAGAATAGCTTCCTCTCGCGGTAGGAGTAAACGTTGCCGGAACCGGCGGTGCCGACGTGGACGAAGGTTCCCGTGGGACCGTCGAGGCCGCCGATTTGGGCGTCGAATTGGTCGAACTGCTGGACGACGCCGCAGGAGGAGCAGAGCAACTCGCCGGTGTCATCGTCGCGGATGAAGGAGGTTTTGCCGCACTCGACGCAGGGAGGAGTCATGGACGTTGCGTTATGCGTGCAGAGGAAGCTTCGTTTGAGTTTGGAGCGAAGAAGAAAGAAGAATACGAGAAGCGAGGAAAAGCCCAATGCCACCGAGTTGGGTTGGGCCATTCTCCTCTTGCTTTCTGCTTATTTGTAGTTTGCTTTTCTTTTTCTTTTTTTTAAACCAATAATTGTCGTAAGAAGCAAAGCGAATGCTTATAATAAATGTTTTATCTATGTAACAATCTAAAATATTAGTAAAAAATAATCACAAAATTTAATACAAGTATTCAAAGACAGAAGGTGAGGCTACTTTTTAATAACAAGCAGTTCATTCAAAATTTATTGCGCTCAAAATTTTTAAATAAATTCTCAAATTTATGTCTCATAAATAATATAAAAAATGTACTTAAAAATGAAAATTATAGTAATTATTATAAATCACGTCATTTTGTTGTTGTAGGAAAAAAATATACAAATAACATAGGATAGAATGACAAGACGAGTGAGGGAAACACGATGTCGCAGGTTCAATCCATTACCTTGAAGCATCGCTCGCTACCTATGCACTCTTTCGTTCCTCCAAACTTCCTTATTCCTTTGAAACGCAACGTTTCATTGACACCCACACCCAACTCCCCATCACTCTCTGTCAAATGCTACCACCCCAAACCCTCTTCCTCACCTCCCCAATACCCTCCAAGTTCGTTTATTCTTCACCTTCATAACAAAGTCAATATTTTTCTTTCAAAAATCGCAGTATAAAATGATGGGTATTTGTGTCTTCAGTTGGAGGAGAATCGCTGCAAAAGGTCTACGTTGGTTACTCCATTTACACTTTGAAGGGTGTGATCACGGTGGCTCCTAGACCTCCGGAATTCGAACAAAAAAATGTATGTTTTGAGTTTCTGATGTTTGTGTGTGGAATTTTGAATAGAGTGTTTGGTTATGGAAGGTTCTTGTGTTTGTTTTGCAGTCCGGGGCGTACGCAGTGTCTAGGGAAGGTTATGTGCTGCTCCAGTTTGCTCCTTCACTTGGTGCTGATGAGGTCACATATGATTGGAACCAAAAGGAGGTAACTTGTGCTTCTGTTATGGAGTCTATACTTGGTGTCTTTGTTTGTCTAAAATATAAGAAACTCTTATGTATTATTAAGAGTATGCTGCACCAAGTGGCAAATAAGACATGTTAGATTGGGTTTAATATATTGAGTAAACAGTCACTTTGTCTCCGCATTTGGAAGGTGCTACTATATTAGTCTTTGTATGGAAGGAAATTAAAAATAAAAAACTCATTGAAGGTACAAATTAACAATCACATAGTTTAAAATTTAGAAAAATGTGTGACTAAACTGATAACATTAATATATATTTAAGAACTAAAACGACGGTAAGTAGTAAAATTTAGAGACTTATTTGATACTTTCTTAGTTTTAGCCTTTTAGGACAAATGTGGCAACGCTCATCACTTTCTGAGATGAAAGTGGTTGTTTACTCTCTAACTTAATAAAATTTAGATCAAATCTTAATTGTTGGGTGTGTTACGTTGAGTTACATAGGATTTCTCTTAAAATTCAAACCTAATCAATATACATTCCTTTGCTTTTTCTCTTCAAATATTGACATGTATTTTAGTGATTGTTCAGAGTTAGAGTTGAGAGGCTGGCTACTCTGGTATGCCAGCTGATTTTTTTTTCAGCCTGGGGAAACTCAAGTTTTTAACTAGTTGGAAATTATGCTAGTTTAATGGATGATACTGATGGTTAAACTTTTTATGTTAGAAACTAGTGTAATTAAACAAAAATTTAATGTTTTGAGAGAATGTAATATGTGTTCACAAGAGACCTGACTTGATGTTGAAGGAGTTCATGATAAGGTCATTCTGTAAAAAAAAAGTTTTATTTGTACAGGTCTGTGTTTTTGTGTAATGAAATTAAGGAAATTTAATTTTTGTTTTTTGAATGAGCCTTGGGTTAGACAGTATCAATTAGTTATTAATTTATTATAATAAATTTTATAATAATTTATTTTCTTTATTGCTAACAAGTAGTAACCCTTATCATTGTCCATTGCCTTCATGCTTCTGTGTGTTTGCTGTTTCCAACACAACTGAATGAATTTTATCCCCACTTTGAAAAAAATAAAGTTATGATTTCATGGTTCCTTTAAGACAGTTTAGTTTAGTTAGTAGTGCTTGAGATATTCAATGAGTGTGCAGGTTCAACCTTGCAATTCAATCTGCCTCCATTTCTCTCTCCCCTTCTCCTCATGGGACCTCTAGTGGGCTTCCCCCATCCTTGAACCGAAAAGAAAAAAGGATGTGATTTCATTGGCATTTATGACTCTGTTGAACATAGTTTTATAGTTTAAAACGTGAGTTAATTGTCCACTTTGCTTGAATGCAGGTATTTGCACTATCAGTGAGTGAAATGGCAACTCTAATTAACCTTGGATCGAGGGATTCTTGTGAATTTTTACATGAGACTATGAAACCTAAAAGGTAGTTTCCGTGTTGTTTCTTCTAGTTATATTGATAACTTTCTGATTATTGCTTGCTTTATCTTGTGATACAAATTGAATTTCCTTTTCATATGGAAAGGGTATATGGTAAATGGTGTCTTCAAACCATGTTGCAAATAAAACATGTAATAATATATGAGGATTCATGCATATTAACTAAATCAGTGTCCACTGCACTTGTTGCATTTTTTCTTTGGATGTGTGTGCATTATGCCATAAGTAACGGCTGCTGTGATTTTATCCTTTTAAAGCATTTTGCACATTGTTATGTTATGCAGTGATGAATATGAAGTCAGAAAAGTTTTGAAGGTGGAGCCAGTTCTGGATGCTTCTGGTCACTTAATTAGCTTAAGTAATTTTCTTTATTCAAAAACTTTTGTTGCTGTTATACTGTATCAATCTGATTTTACTTTATTGCCATCTTGTATTTGTCGGGATACTCTACTCCTGAGCTGATTTATTTCACTATTTTGTGTAACCTGTAAATAGATTCTACATGCATTATTATAACACTGATCAGTCTTGATGGTCCTCACTATAAGAAATAATTTAGCTTACCCATACTGATGCCAATACATGCAATATAAAGGTAAAATATTACATGCGTAAAATATTTACTTCAGTTCTGACTTTGTTATGTCAATTTTCAAAGGTGTTCAAAAGAAGCATGAGAACGAGAACATGAACGAAATTGAGAAAAGCATCTTTATCCCTGTTGTAAGGGCAGAGCTAGCGGTTTTGAGGTCGACTTTCAATGTATGCTCTCTCTCTCTCTCTTCCCTGCTCTAACGGAGGAATATTCGTTGCCATGTTTCACCACTGATAATACAATGGGATTATGTAGTAGCAAAAAGATAAGGCTTCTCTAAAATGAACATTGAACAAGTAAAGGTGTATATGCATGTTTTTTTTTTGGTACATATAGTGCATTGTAATCTTGCCCCACTAAAATTCAAGGTAGAAACAACCTTACTTTGCCTACATTAAAGACAAGCTCACTTCTGAGTGTCTTCCCATAACATAAATGACTGGTTACTGTACAAGAGAAGAAGAAATAAGATCTTCCTCATGCAATATAGTTCTTTGTGTAATAATAGCTCAACCTTCTAGTCAAGAAAACTACTTGTCTAGCCTAATTACTTGTCATGAAATCTTCAAGATTTATACAATTTTTTGCTTGTCAGATAATTTATAATTTGGAATGAGAAGTTCCTGGTTATGTTTATTCAATAGTGTGATATAGCATTTAAAAACAGGTTTCTCTACAGCATTTTCTTTTTCTTGAGTGAAGCCAATTTTCCTATATGCACTAAACCTGATTAATATTTTGCCCATTTTGATTATACTTTTGCTGCTTTTCTATGCAGTATATCATGCCATACCTTCTAGGTTGGAATGCCTTTGCAAACACCATAAAGCCAGAGGTATATAATCGAGTGAATAGTACCAACCCCAGATACAGAGCAAACGATGAATGGAACAGATAGGAATCATTATTTTCAAGACCTACACGGCCCTGTGACTGTGCTACCTCCTCAACTTTGAAATGTGTTGAATCTCTTCATTCTGGTAGCATAGAATTGTTTTGAAAAATTTTGAGATATCATTATTAGCACACTCATTTTTAATTTAATTATTTAGTTGTTTATTAAATAAATTATTTGCTCCTTTCCTTTTGTTTCTGTGCTCTGTCTCATGCTTTTCCCTTTTGTTTTTGAATTTAATTAGGATGTATGTGAATGTATAAGTTATTTAATCTTATATTTATAAATGTGTGTTCGAAACTAAATCTAAAACATGGATTATCACTCTCTATCTCTCCACGTCTAATTAAAGTAACAAAGAGTAGTTTCTCCATGTGTCCTAAATGAACTTCGCATCACATAACTAATTTAATATATAGGAGTTTAATAAATAAAATATGTGTAGCACATATAGTGGTATTGGAAGGGCTATTTGCATTACACGAAGGTTATGTGTCGCTTCCTTCATAGTATTTCTTTTTGGTACAATTTTTATAAAAAAAAAAATTTGTACAAGCTTCCTTTATAGTATAAAGTATAAATATAATTTATGGAATAAAGATTAAGTATATTTTTAACTCTAATAAAAAACGTTGAGGTCAACCTAATCTAAGATCGTGTTTGAATGATCTTAAATTATCAACTTAAATGCAAACTACTTGACCAGGATCTGTTGAAGATTGACCCACTTGATTTTTCTTTATTAACTCTTAATTAAGAATCTAAATAATGCATCAAATTAAGTTATGGTCAAGCAGTTGCCCAGTTGCTTACTTTCTTTTGAGCTGTTTGTAGCATCTTACCTTTTAATTAATCTATGATCTGTAGAACTCTCATATATATTATGCCAAGTAGATTGTTAATTTATGCTAAACATTCTTATTGAAGTAACATAGACAGATTTCATCCCTTGACCTTATTATACAGACTTTACTAAGCCCATAAACTATTAACATTAAATTTAATTATGAATAAAAAAATACCACCAGGATGGTTTGTTTATATTATTATGAAAGATCACTTGACTCAAATGTAAATTAAAATTAATCTTATAATATCTAATAACATTTTATTGAATGAACTTCTCACAATTTTTGTCATTAGATTAACGGTATCTATTGTATGAATCCATACCCATAATTTTACGATTGATATCTTCTTTTTTTTTTATGTATATAAATTAAAATTAATGTAATTTATATCTGTACATACTAAAGGAGGCCCCTATAATCATTTTGATCACATTTTTTTTATTTGGTCTCCTTTTTTAGTCTTGGTGTCTTGTAATACTCAATTGTTGCCAAAGATCAGCACTTCTTGTGCTGGTTTTAGTACCATACTATTCCTAATTGCAATAATATTCTTTGGCTTTTAATTATATATATATATATGAAATTATTGATTATTGAATCCATGCATTAAAATATAGATAAAATGTTTTTATTCTCTCTATTCTATTTATAAAAAAAAATCGGTTTTTGTCCTAAAATAATCAGTTGAAGAATTTTTCCGTAATGGAAACTTGTCCAAAGGAATAACCGTTTCTTTTGTATCTTTGGTCCCTAAGAAAAATCATTCCCAAAGTTTTTCAGAACATAGACCCATCTTCCTTATCGGTAGTATTTATAAAATCATCTTTAAATTGTTTTGCATATAGACTAAAGGTGTGTGGTCCTTAGTTCAATTATATATATATATTTGCATGGAAACAATTGTTTGCATAATGATTTGGTAGATAGAGTTGGCGAATATCGAACAATTGCAGGCGAGCTCAATGCTTGCCACGAAGAGTTTGAATTTAATTTGGTATTCTAAAATGACATCAAAGTTTGGCCCTATGTGGATTGCAGCCTTTCCCGGATTGGTTCAATATTTTTAACTTTTTTTCTTCAAAATTTAAGTTAAATAATTATTGTGGAAATTATTTTTATTCATATATTTATTTTATTGTAATAAATAAAATATAAATAAATATATATATATATATTATTTTATTTAAGAAAGTGATTTAAAAGTGATAGTGTGACATTGTTGTATTTATTTTTAATATGAAAAACACGTATATATAATATATTATTTTTATCTATGATCATTTTATAAAACTTATAGTGAAAAAAGTACCTATATCTCTTAATTATTGAACTTTTATTAATCACTTAAAAAATTAAATAAAAATACAGACAACACATAACTCAATTAGACTAGTTCCACTCAAATCCATTTTATAACGTACACAGATTTTATGAGATCGAATTAATTAAAAATATATTCATTTTAAATTTAAAATTTAGAACCTAAGCCATGTAATTAATAAACGGTTTCGTACTAACCTACAAAATACTCAAAATTTAGAGTCCAAAATCTCTGTAATTTATCAAACGGTTTCGAGTACACACATTTTTGTCAGTTCTATTGGTAAATCTGTATAAAACCCTAAATGCATCATTTGAAAAATACGACTCATTGTTTATTTTTAGATTACATGATGCGTAAAATAGGGATCCAATGATGTACACTAAACAAAATTTATTATTAACAACAATTATTTAATGATAATAATTTAATTTCTGCTATTTAATTATATAATAAAAATATTAATAATTAATATATAATAATTACTAAAAATCTATTTATATTACACTAAAATTTACTATTAACAATAATTATTTATTGAAAAAAACTTAAGTTCCACATCGATTAGAGATAAAATAATTAAATAGTATATAAGTGAGTAATAACTATCACCTTATAAGTTAATTTTATAGGGTTGAGTTAAACTCCTAATTCACTATTCTAAATTAGTATCAAATCACCCACTATTACCAAGTTTAATAGTGCTATAAAATAATTAGAGAGTAACTTTCACCTCACCTTATAAATCTCACATCGAAATAAGACAATTAAAAAATATATAAATAGAAGAGATAAAAAAGTATAAATTATGAATTTAGAAAAGGAAATTATAGGAATAAATTATTTAAAGTTTTACTAGCAAAATATAAAAGTCACTAAATGGATCGAAAAGAGACAATTGAAAAAAATAACTTTTAATAGCCTTTAAAATGGCTATAATTGTCACTATAAAAAATAAGTTTTCCCGACAATTTAGTAGGCTTTTACCAGCATTTTATATAAATGCCGGTAATAATATATATTAACGATCCTAGATACACCAACTATTATTTAAATGTTGGTAAAAAAAATAATGATTATTTATATGACTGTTAAAGAATAAATTAATTGCCACAAAAAACTAATTTTGGTGTAGTGATTGAGGAGTTGGACCCACCACTGTATTTGCTTTGCCATTATTTCTATGGTAACAAATGGCAACCTTACAAACGAAGTTGATTATAATGTCAAAAGGATTAATTAATTAATTAATATATATATATATATATATATTTTATAAATAAGTTTATTTAAATTTATTTTATTCAATAATTTATATTTTATATTAAATTTTAATAATTTAATCATTAAATTAAAAGTTCTTAATATTTAAATTAAATTTATAATTTTAAAAAAATTGAAAATTATATAATACTTTATTATATATGTTTAGATCAATTTATAAACCATTTTTACTATTATCTATCACTTTAAATTAATAAACAAAGTATCATATGATTTTAATTTTTAAAAAATTTGTAAATTTAATATATATATTAAAAACTTTTAATTTAACGATTGAATTGTTAAGATTTGATGCAGGACATGAATTATTAAATAAAGTAAACTTAAATAAATTAGAATAAATAGATCTTTCTATATATAATTATTGAATTAAAAAAATTTAATAGATAGATCAAATTTATAAAATTAAAAATTTTAAAATTTATTTAATACTCCATTTTATTTTTATTGCGGGACTTGCAAACCAAAACCATTTTTTCCTCCTATTGACAATGCTTATACCAGCTTAGGGATGGCAAAGTGGGTCGTGGCCCGCGGGCTGGCCCGTTGGCCCACCAAAAATTGGCGGGTCGGGCCTATCATTTCAACTCGCCAACCCGCCAAGCCTGTCCTGCCAAGCCCGTCAACCCGCTGGGCCAAATAGCGAGTCGGCCTGCCACAACCCGCCGGCGTGCATATTTTTTTATTTAATTATTTTTATGTTTATTTTATTTTGATGTAAAAGATGATGATGAAGATGATTAAGAAAAAAAGTAGAGACAACTTCTTCCAAGAGAGCTTCTAATATTCTTAAAATAAAAATTCAAAGTTAATTAATTATATTTGAACTTGTTTTGTGGACTATCAAAAAATTTAGTTTATAAGTAATTTATAAGTTTATAATTTGGTTTTGATTTTGGTGTAAGTAGACTAATTTCTATTTGATTTTGTTGAACATATATTATGTACAATATGTATGCATTTTTAATTTCATATGGTTATATTTATTTATTTGTAGCAAAAAAAAATTATTTGAACATAAAATATTTTTTTTTGTATGCGGACTGACCCGCCAACCCGCCAACCTGTCCTTAAGCGGGACAAGCTAACATTCCTAGCCTGTTTTACATGGGCCGGCCCGGGTCAAAACGGGTCGGGCTAACTCGTTTTGTCATCCCTATACTAGCTACAATTGAGTTACATGGCTACTTCATATGTTGAAGTACCTAAAATTAAGTATTCACATGGACCCACAACTTCTTAAACATCTATAGTATACCGTGAATAATCCACACATTGCCGGCCCTTGAAGTTCCCCCACAGATTTAAGGTAGTGCAATGGTGGAATGTAGTTTTCTTTGATGCAGGTGCAGCCTGCTGCAGGAATATGGCTCTTCAAATGTTTGGAATGGCTTTGAAATTAGGGACATACATTCTTATTATCAACTTTCATTAGTTGGAATAGTGCACCAATTTTGTTTTTCACACACATCAGGAGTCAATATAGTACTCCTACCACCCTTTCATTAATTTATATAAAATACATATGCTTTTGAGGCATTTCTCCCAACAATTCAACTCTCTTTGCTTTCATATATATAAGTTTGATTCCTTCTTAAATAATGAGAGAGAATATTTTTACTTTCAAAGAACAATGAGAATGGAATCTTCAAGCGTGCTGCGTGCCTAAACCCTAACCTATTTTACAGCCCGTGTTAATTTACCCATCCAAATAATGAAAATAAGGAGGATTTTTTTGAATTTCCAAATTAGAACATTTATTTCTTTGTATAAGAAAAACAATGTAAGGACAAATGAAAAATTAAAAACAAAATTATCTGTTTAATTTTTTCTTCCCTTGTATTTCAAAAAATAAAATAAAATAATCTTCCCCTTATTTTACATCCTTTTCATCCAACCAAAGGTTTAAGAAATCATTTGACATTTACAAGTGAAAACAGGAATTACGCCAAAAGAATTGGTACACTAATGACAACTTCTTTTAAATTTAGGAAGTTCTTACTATTTTATTTATTAAATTAATGATTAAAGACTTATCACCACCGTCTTCTTAAGAACCTTGAAGGATTGGTTAACTTGAAATCAAATTTAATTAATATTTAATATTCACTTTTCTCCTCCAGCTTGCACAGACTTTAGAGATCCATGACCCAAATACCAACAACTGAGCTACAGCAACTTATAAACAATTTTTTCACCAAACACATTGGAATAGTCTTAGAAATATATGACCATGAATCTTGTGTTACCTTACAGTGGTAAAAGGAAAAAATGACGATCTAAATATAAAAAATTAAAAAAGAAATGATACAAAAAGTGAATTTGAGGACCCACGCATAATGATCATTGTCAAGGCTGATGAATGCATGTGGTGAACTTTGACTGGCATTTATGACATTTTTCACAGATGAATCTTCAATCCTACCACGACTGACATGATGAGCTCTATATATAATACAATATTTCTCCAATCTCTCTCATAAAGGTTGAATCCAGAATTAAAATATGTTATTTTATATCTTAATATAATAAGCCAACTAATATATATATAACATATATGACAAAATATATAGAATTCTTGTTCTTGAAGTTTATATGGAGCTATTGACAAGGAAATCTCTTTGAATTTCAACTTATGCAATTGAAGTCAACATAAGAAGGCTTTAAAAAGCCATGCTTGAATAGAGAAAATTTGTCTCCATGGAAAGCTAGCTATATAAATATATTATAAACTTAATTTGCTCTTCTCGAAAGATCATATCTGTGCTAGCTAGTAATGGAAGACAATAACTTCTTGGATTCTAACGATGATGAAGAGATTGGTAGCGAGAAGGTGTGATTTTCTTTTCTCTATAACTTTTTATTGAATGCCTTTCTTTTCCAAAGAGTCTTTTTAAGCTTTTTTTTTTTTTTTTTTTAATTATATATATGATCGATCTATTTCATGCATATTCTTGGTATTGGTATATCTGTATTATGTAATTAACAGCTTCATTCAATCTTTGCCAAAGTATGATATGGTTTACTTTTAACACATTCACACGTGCATGTCGATTTCAGTTTAATTTCATTCATAACCATTAAATTGGACCTGTAATTAATTCACCTCAAAATTCAATGTATATATTCATGTTTTTAGGATTATGCCTTTTCGTGCAAATGATGATGAGAATTAGTCATTTTCACCATGATTAGTCAAATATCTCATACTTCTGAGTGTTAACGATGGGTTAACGTTTGTGAGATCCAATAATGGGTAATGGGTTTTCTAGAAGATTGAAAATAGATTGTAATTGCAACCGGAATTATAAGGTAACCAAGTGAGTTTGATTGAATTCTAATTTGAGTGAAGAAATAGATGAGGCATTGAGACACCTTAAACATTTTAGAGTCTCCTTAACTATTAAACAGAGTCTAAATAATTTGATTAACGCAAGATTTTTTTGGGTTTTTTTTTCTCCCGTTCATGTAAATATAATAACTTTATAATAATTAAGGATGTAAACAATGATTCTAAATTTTATAAGGATGAAAAATAAAAATAAAATTATAAATATCGAAATCTCAATTTATTCATTTTATAAAAATATAACATATTTAAGTTAAAATATAACTTTAAATAATAAATTCTACTAACAAAATTATGTATATTTTTTATGCATGTTTAATTGTTTCTGTATTTTTTTTTTTTTATAACAAGCAATAATGAGATTTCATAGCTGTAATAAAAAACTTATATGTGTAACCCCAAAAGAAAAATGAGATTTCATTGCAAGTAAATTGAACATTAGCACGAGAGAGGCAAAGTCCATGTATAAGCATTAGATACATTATATTAATGGTTAAAATTTTAATTTATATATAGTTAAAATTTCTCACTTTTTGGATCGTCTAATGGAGAACCCCACACAAAGCACCAAGTGTCTCTCTTTTTTATGGCCGTGCTCAACCTCATTGTAATGAAAGTCAATTGAAATGGCATATTCATGCAGGCATATGGTTGTTAGAAAAAATGTACTAGACAAACAATAATGGTTGTATACATGCATGCATGTTGTCGACAATATGTTATATGCAAATAACAAAAATCATGTTTTAGCTCAAAGTCATGTGCTGTGCCTGTAGCTGACTCACTAAATATTTATAATTAAGAAATATTAATAACATGCTTTTTAATCATCATTACTATTATCAAAAGTGGTAATGTGGTGCGACACTTGTACATAAGAATCACGGTTTATTTATTTTTTACTTTAACATAAAATCGTGATTAAATGTATTCATTTTGCTTTTATAAGAGTTGAGAAGAAATTATATAATTTTTTATATAAGAAAATATCATTATTTATTGTTGATTAATTTTTTTAAAAAACTACAAAAATTATGTCAATCTCACTTTTAATTCAATAAGCATTGCTCATAATCCTTTAAATTTATCGCAGTTTGTTTACTTTAAATAGCCATGTGAGACTCTTATACGTGGGTTAGAATACCCCTTTATACTCTGTTTCTTAAAAATACTTTATTTATATATATAATAATCTGACTCATGATTTTACAATTTCTAAAAAACAATGCAGTGAATAATTCTTTATTATTACCTTTGCTCCTAATATATAAATTGATGCATTTTTGGTCCGTATTATAAAAAAATATTCTCTTTAGTATTACCGTTTGTTTTAATATATAAATTGGTGCATTTTTTCTTCATATTATTATTATTATAATATATATATATATATATATATATATATATATATATATATATATTAAAATA